CAAAGAAGAGGTACAGGAGGGAACAGGCATTTATTAAGTGCCTATTATGTGCCAGGTACTTGCTAACCACTTTACAAATATTATCTCATTTGACCTGTGTTATTATTATCCCCATTTTATAGTTGAAGAAACTGAGTTAGACAAGTTAAATCAATTGCCCAAGGTTACACAGCCAGTATATATTTGAAGGTAAGATTTGAATTCAGGTCTTCCCAACCCCAAGCCTAGATAACAACAACAACAACAACAACAACAATAATAATAATAGCTAACATTTATATAACATCTCCCACGTGCTAGGAACTGTGCTAAATGCTTTACAAATATTATCTGATTTAATCCTCACAACCCTGGGAGGTAGGTATTATTCTTATCCCATATTAAAGATGGAGAAACTGAGATAAAGAGGCTGAGTGACTTGACCAGGGTCACAAAGCTACTAAGTATCTGAGACTGGATTTGAACTCAGGTCTTTCCTGACTCCAGGCCCAGCATTCTATCCCACCACCTAATTGCCTGAGGGGTAAAGGCTTAATCACAACAGATCTAATATGATCTAATCAAAATTCTACCATTGCATGTGCATTGCTATATTCAACTTCTATAAATTTTGTGGACAAAGACATGAATGAATTTATGTTAAATTACAGTTTAGTTCTTAGCTATCTATATCACTTTTGGATGGAAATAGAATGTTAGAACTGGAAGGAATCTTGGAAATAATTTAAACCAGACCATTCATTTTGCAGTTTGTGGAACTGAGGCCCAGAAAAGAAAAGTGATTGGCCAACATTATCCAACTAGTTAATTAATTCTCTAAGATTACAGTTCCATTAGACTTTCTTTTTTCTCTTTATACCAGGCATTCTTTTTTTAAATTTTTTTATTAATTTATTTTGATATATCAACAATCACTTCCATAAGTTTTTGAGTTTTAAATTTTTCTCTCCCTCCCCAAGACTGTGCACAATCTGATATAGGCTATACACTGACATTCCTATTAAACATACTTTCACATTAGTCATGTTGTAAGGAAGAATTAGAACTAATAGAAGGAACCACAAGAAAGAGGAAACAAAACAGAAGAAAAAAAAGAGCAAATAGTATGCTTTGATCTACATTCAAACTCCATAGTTCTTTCTTTGGATGTACATAGCATTTTCCATTGTGAGACTTTTGGAGATGTCTTAGATCCTTGCATTGCTGAGAAGGGCTAAGTTTATCAGTTAGTCATTGCACAATGTGGCTGTTACTGTGTACAACATTCTCCTGGTTCTGCTCACTTCACTCAGTATCAAACCATACAAGTCTTTCCAGGTTTTTTCTGAAGTCTGCCTGCTCATCATTTCTTACAGCACAGTAGTATTCCATTATATTCATATACCTCAACTAGTTCAGCCATTCCCCAATTGATGGGCATCCCCTCAATTTCCAATTCTTTGCCACCACAAAAAGGGCTGCTACAAATATTTTTGTACATTTTCCCATTTTTATGATCTCTTTGGGATACAGCCCTAGAATTGCTATTGTTGGATCAAAGGGTATGCACATTTTTACAGCCCTTTGGGCATAGTTTCAAATTACTCTCCAAAATGCTTGGATCATTTCACAACTCCACCAACAAGCATTAGAGTTCCAATTTTCCCACATCTTCTCCAACATTTATCGTTTTCCTGTTTTATCATGTTGGCCAATCTGATACACACCAGGCATTCTTATAACCAGGAATTTGTGAATTCACTTTTTTTTATCTTTTAATAACTGTATTTCAAAATTGGTTTCCTCTATAATGCTATGTATTTTATTTTATGCATTTAAAAACATTTTCGTCCATGAGGCAAAAAAGCTTAAGATTTCTGCTGTACGCTGTCTCAGTGACTGTATCAGCTCCTCTGGGTTCTACTATCATCTCTTACACAGATGACCCCCAAATTTACATATCCAGATCTCTCTACCTCTCTTGAATTCCAGTCCTACAGGATCAACTGCCTGCTATACCTCTACCTGAATGTCCTATCCTTTTCAAACTCTACATTTCCCAAAATGAACTCCTTATTTTTCCCCAATAAATTCTGTCCACTCCTCTAAACTTTCTTATTTTCCTCCAATCACCCAGGCTCACAACCTACAGTCATTCTTGAACTTTCTCCCTCCTTTCTCACTTCTCATATCCTATCAGTTACCAAGTTTTGTCAATTCTATCCCTACAACTAGGTGGCCAGTGGATAGAACACAGGGCTGGGAATGAGGCAGATTCATCTTCCTGAGTTCAAATCTGGCCTCAGACACTTACCAACTATATGACCCTGGGCAAGTCACTTAGCCTTGTTTGCCTTAGTTCCTCATCTGTAGAATGAGCTGGAGAAGGATATGGCAAATCACTCCAATATCTCTGCCAAGAAAACCCCAAATGAGGTCACAGAGAGTCAGACACTACTGAACAGTAACAAACTCTACAACATTTCTTGCATGCATTCTCTTTTTTTCTCTACTCACATTACTAATGACCTCAGTTCAGGCCCTCATCCCTTCTTGCCTGGACCCTGGCATTGGTCTCCCTGTTTCCAGTCTCTCTCCTCTCCATTCTCCACAAAGTTCCCAAAATAATCCTCCTAAAGCACACATCCTACCAAGCCACGTTTCTGGGCAAAAACCTTCAGTGGTTCCCTACTGCCTCCAGGGCATACTCCTCAGCCTAACTTTTAAAGCCCTGCACAAGCTGACTCCTACAACCTTTTCCAATATTTCACATTATTCCCCCTTTATAGGCTTTACATTCCAGCAAAAACATCCTACTAGTTGTTCCTCAAACTTGACATTCTATTTCCTACCTCTAAGCCAGAGGTTGACTCCCACACATAGAACATATTTTCTCCTCACCTCCACTTCTAAGATTCCTCAAATTTTCTTCAGGCTCAACTTAATTTTAATCATCACTCACTGATTTTCCTGATGCCACCTAATTGCTTTTCTAGCTTCAAATTATCTTGTATTGACTTATCTGGATATGTGGGGTTTTGTTGTTCTTCACTCCTTTCAGTCCTGTCTGACTCCTGATGACTCCATTTGGGCTTTCTTAGCAAAGATATTGGAGTGGTTTGCCATTTCCTTCTCCAGCTCATTTTACAGATGAAGAACAGAGGCAGACAGGGTTAAGTGACTTGCCCAGGCTCATACAATCAATTAAGTGAATGGGGCCAGACTGCTCTCACAAAGACTCATCTTCCTGTCTCCAGGCCCGGTGTTCCATCCACTATACCACCTAGTTGCCAGCGTACTTTGGTATCCCCTAGTAAAATAGACTTGTTTTTTGTCTTTGTATCCAATCCAATGCCTTGCACTGGTTAACTATTCAATAAACATTAGAAGAATTAAATGAAGAGAGTTAAAAGGAACCAAAATTTAAAGATCGTCTAGCCCAACAGTCTAAATTCACAGATGAAGAATGTATGATCCAGAAAGGGGAAATGAATTGTATAGAGTAACAGAGGCAGTAAATCACAGAGTCTGCATTAGAACTGGGATCTTCTTACTCAGAATCTAAGGCTCTTTCCACTATAGCACATCTTTGTTATGCCTTTCCTTACTGTGGCACAACCATTCAAACGACCCAATTTTTCCCACTTACATATATGAACCTAAATCCTAAGAACATATAATCCAGAGAAGAAACCCTAGGAGATCCTATCAAACTAGGAAGGTTTGATCACAGGCCCAGCAACAGATTGTATGTATATCCTCTGAGAACCAGCCCACCTAATTTTAGGGAGGCCCATTTCCAAAGGATTCCTCATCATAACAGATGGAGAATACACACAAGTGTGCAACTTGGGCTTTTGAAATATAAAAATAATTATTAAGTGCAGAGCATGGTACTAGATGTTGGGAGGGGGGAAATACAAAGATTAAATATGGCACAGTCCCTTGCCCTCACTGAGCTCACAGGTGAGGGGAGGGGAAGGATAATATACAACCTATAATAACTACAATAAAAGACAGTACACAATACATAAAGAAAGATGAAAATCAAGTGCTATACTGGGGCCATGATAGAGCTAAGATCTTTACAGACTGAAGGAATCAATCAAGGTTCCATGAAGGAAGTGGTATAAAAAATAGCTCACCACCAAAAAAAAACAAAAATCCTAACATCAAATTCAGAATTTGGAAAACATGAAACACAAATACCCCTTTGGAAGCATATCTTCATCTTAACATTTAATAGAACTGAAATCAACAGTAGATTCTCAATTCAATTCAAAACGTTAAAACTTTGGTCAAAGATCATTGAATTTAACATTCCAAAGTAATCTGATCTATTGAAAACACCAGATCAAAATAAAACATTGTCAAGGATGCCATCAACACAGGAAAAACAAATGATTATAACTTGTACTTTACTTCACAAAATAGGAATATTCTTGGTAAATTGTTTACAAAGTCATATTCCTAAAGTAAATTCAGTTTTCCTACTCATTTTAATTATAAAATTGGAGGTACAGTAATGCCTCAGTTATCTGACATTGTTGGAGAACATGATTATTTCGCCTAAGTGAGTTTTCCAGACAGACTTATAGAATGTTACAGGAGTTGGATGGACTATTGTAAAAAGTTCCCAAACTGTGCATTGATACTACCACTAGGACTATACTTCTAAAGATATCAAAGAGGAGAAGGACTGGTAAGTACCAAAATATTTACAGCAGCTCTTTTTTTGTAGTAGCAAAGAACTAGAAATTAATGGGATGCCCATCAACTACAGAATGGCTGCACAAAGGATGGTATATGAATGTAATGGAATACTATCATACTGTAAGAAATGATGAAAGGAAGTGTCACAGAAAAACCTGAGAAGACTTAACATGAACTGATAGAAAGTGAAACAAAAGAACTAAAACAACTTATCCTCTGTAACAACATGTAAAAATGAACTTGAGAGATTTAAGAACTCTGATCAACACAATGACTAACCATGATTCCAGGAAACAAATGAAACTTACCTTCTAGTGATAGACTAAATATGGAGAAGACACTCATTTCTGGGCATGGCCAATATAGGAATTTGTTTCACATCACTATGAATATTTGTTACATCGGTTTTATTTTTCTTTTTTTACTGGAAGGAGAACAGACGGAGAAAACATAAATGCTTATGAATTGAAAACAAAATTTAACTTAAAAAATTTTAGACAGTAGCTAGAAGGAAACGCGAACATTTTAGTCCAATCTCCCGTTCCATCTCTGTTTTACAAACGAGAGAAGAAAGCTCAGAAATACTGAAGCTTATCCCTTCAAAATAAAGAAAATTATAATGATCTATCACTGTATTTTGTGGTTAATAACATTTTGAATATTTTTCTGATTCTTCTTTGCTAGACAGTCAGCTGTTATTTCTGTCACTGTGTCTGTCTAAAGCAGCCCCCTCCACTCTCTTCTAGGTTGCTATTTGTAGTTAAAATTGGCTAACAAACTATGATAAGAGTTGCATTATGTGATGGCTAGTCATAGGTTCAAAAATATGGAGGAACAAAATATGTCACAGGCCATCTGGTATACCTCTCTTCTTTAAAGATGATAAACCAGGGGGCCAGAAAGATTAAAAAGTTTGCTTAAATTAGACACACAGGTAGTAAGCGGGCAGAGTCCTTCAACCTGAACCCAGGGCCTCTAACACCTGTTCTTTCCATTGCACCATGAGGCTGCCCTGGCTCAGAGGCTTCATTTGCTTATTTCTAGTTTGGAATGTGTTTTAATGATTGGTTACCAAAGAAGTGACCTCTAGATAAGTACTATAAGTGTCACCACACACATCTAGAAAAAAATTTTTCCCTAACAAGTAATTAAATCACATCTGAGAAAACAGAAAGCAATTTTAAAATTGTGTATCTGAAAGGGAAAAATTTTATAAAATGTTAACTTTTTTAAATGTTAATGCAAATATATCTAAAGGCAAGCCTACAGCAATTAAATGGATATTATCTTCCATGGAGGAATTACAGGAAAACAAGGAAAGGAATAGCCAATATGAGAATGTATAAGTGGGGTAGGATCTGTGAAGGAGTAGTATTATTTTTACATCTAGCACAAAAAATAACAATATAACAAACTGAAAATTTAGTCAATTTCTTTCAAAGCCTTTCCCTGAGCCCTTACCCCAAAAACACTGGACAGAAAGATAATACATAGCTCTTTGGTCTCTCAGGCCTAGGTTCCTAGCACTTTCTGGAAATTACAAGTTTTAAGGGGAAAAAAAAATCATGGAGACTAAAAGTACATGGAAAAACATATTAGAAACAACAATTCAAAATTCAACACTATCTGAACAAATGTAGAGTTCAACAGGTAGAACTTGTTTGGGTTGAAGTAAGAAAGGTTTAAACGTTAAAAAGGCAACACTACACAAAGAGACAGTTCTTGTTAAACTACATATATACAAAGGTTTGGCATATAATGATCCAACTTCAACCTTCTATTTAGTACTTTAATGCCCGGGCCTGTCTCTTGGAACCTTTATCCATGATTTCTTTATAAAACACTACAGTACTAACTCTGCGTGAGGTACAGTGAAAAGGCCACTGGCTCTGCGGTGGTGGAACTCTCAGTTTAACTACCACCTCTTATACTCCCTGAGTGGTGACCTTAAGGAAACCACTTAACTGTTCTGGGCCTCAGTTTCCTCAGCTGTAAAATGAAGTTGGCCTAGGTGACTTCTTACATCTCTTCCAGCTCTAGATCTGTGATCTCGTTAATTCATACAATAACCAGCCCAATGGTCCCCTCCTCACATTATCCCCATTTTCCCACATGATCTTGGCAGAAGGAGAGAGACCAGCAGAAAGACAAAACAAGAATTAAGCTACAGCTGCCCCTGGAAGATGCATGGAAACTTTTCTAAAATTCTAAAGTGATCAGAGAAATCAGCAAAATAAAGAAAAATATTTTTTACCAGGCTTACTTCATTAGCTCGAAAGAATGCCAAAAAAAAAAAAAAAAAAATCCTGCTAGGCAAAAGATTCCAAGAAAACTAATTATTCTCTAAGTTCAGTAACAGAGACAAAATGTCCACAATAAGTAGGTTGTTTCGCAATCGCTCTGAATTTTAGATTCTTTAAAACTATATTCAGGGGGTGGCTAGGTGGCGCAGTAGATAGAGCCTTGGAGTCAGGAGGACCAGAGTTCAAATCTGACCTCAGACATAACACTCACTAGCTGTGTGACTCTGGGCAAGTCACTTAACCCCAATTGCCTCACCAAAAACAAACAAACAAAAAACTACATTCAGTACATGATTTTAAAAAAGCAAGGAGCAAAACATCTTGGAAAGATTTCCATTCAAAATGGTCATAGTATTAACTAACTTTTCCCTACATGTTACACAGGTAAAGTGCCCTCACATACTTACTGTTTCATTTGATCCTCACAACAATTCTTTAAGGTAAGTGAATAAATATTATTAGGAACATATTATAGATGCAGAAACTGAGGCCCAGAAAATTTGAGTGATTTGTTCATGGTCTAATAATTTTTAATCTAGATCTTCTTATTCCAATATCAGGACTCTTTTCCCCCTATGCTACATGAGGTTTTTTTACCTTAGTAGGAAGGTACAGTGGCAACAAGCTCCTCATTTTCTGTATTTGTTTTCCAAGTTAACTGAGAAAATCTAAAATGTATGTTAATTCTTAGCAAATATGCCTCCCAAAAGCACAATAATTTTAAATGATAGATTTTTAATGATACTCTTTTAGCACAGACGACTTACTCTTTTGCATTCATCTTTTCTTCTCTTCTCTATTTCCCAGTACTTTTTCCAACCCAAGCCTATCTTATAAACACATCTTTTTTTTCAGAGTAAAGTTTATTTGTAAAAGTGTCTGGGGCCTCAGATCACTTGAACTCTAACCAATGCTATTCCAACTATCTTAGAAACAAATGAAACATTTTCTAATAATCTAGAATGGTTTCACAGTCTAGTAATATTATTCGGGTGCTCATCAAAAATTTGAAGAACAATTTATTTTGGCAGCACAGAAAAAAAAAACCCCAAAAGTTACTGATTTAGTGTAATACTTAGTTTTAATATCAAATCCTGGTTTCCAACCAATTTTCAAGGATTTAGGCATATGTTCTTATAGAAATAACAAAATTCATTAACAATCCCTTCTTGCTTTGATCAGGAATTTGTGTAACATGGTAACAAAATCTTAAATAACTGCATCATTTGCATTAAATTGGCCCTGAAATACAAAATCAAGCAAGTATTACATTTTATATGTACCCTCATCTCCTTACCAAACTAAGAAAGTATTTAATTATCCTCAGGACAATCTGTCCAGTGATAACTCATCCCTTATTCCCCACATTTCCACTAAGACATAAAGAATTTTAATATAACAAAAATTGTGTTAATAGACAGAGACTGAGTATGAAATAAACCAATCTAGGGTAGAACAACTCAAATTTTTCAATTTTTTTCAAGACCACTTACTTCAAATCACTTCTGTTACCCTAACACACACACACACCCCCTTCACCCTGGAAAGAATGTCACATCTAACCAATTTCATCACATTTTGTTTTTTGTTTCTGTTTTGTTTTTAACTTTTTTCAGTAACTATAAAAATCCAATTATCTTGGAAATTTCTATTTGTATTTTTAAAAAACAGGTTAGCAGCGACAAACGTGGATGTAAACAAAATGAACAAAGTCCAGAGGGCAGAATAAGATCAAAGAACTTAACAATCACTACTCTAACAGCAACAATACCTTGTCATAATAATCTTACATGCTACTTCCAAAGACATTTGCAAACTCTACTTTCAATTAGGTAGCCTGGGAAACACCATAACACTGACAGTTTTAAAAACTGAACGCATAATAAAGACAGTCATTCTAGCTTCTTGCCATTTAGCATGAATTCTCTACGACTCGTATGTTAACACTAGTAAAAAGGCAACTCCCAAAGCATTTTGGTCAAAAATGGAAAAAAAGTAAGACTAATCATTTCGTCAAAGACACTAACTTTCTCAAGCTGGCAATAGTATTATTCACAGTGAGACAAAAGGTTCAAAATGCACTATACTAATATACTATAATGTGCTTCCAAATGTACTGCACTATTATACATCAATGTAAGCCACGAGAAAAATTTAAAGGACCTTGACTATAGTGGAACTCTAAATTTAACCTTACAGAAAAAATTGGTTATAAAATTCACTCCTCTCATGCAATTATAAAAATGCTTAACTCTTCTAATCTTTTATTAAAATACCTCTCTGTATGTTTGGTCTAATACTTGACATTAGTTACTAAACCCATAAATACTCACTGGTACTCACAGGTTTTGTTTTCTATTAACAAAATTATAACAACAATGATTTATTGTGAAGAAAGTGCTTTTTGCAAATACCAAATTGCTATAAAAATGCTAATCAGTAAATATCTAGTAAAATCTCAACTAATTAGAACCTTGTAAAATAACTCATTCTTGATAATTCAGTTTTTCAAATGGCCAAGAGTTTACTATTCTCTTTGGAGACTAAAACTTTATTTTAAACCTTTTGGATGGAAATCTCTCTAAAATGCATCATATTATTTCCACTACTTTTTAAAATAGGTTAATGAATAGGACTTGGTCTTTTCTTGATGATTTGGGAAGACTGCTTGTCAAGGAAGTTGTTTGTTCAGGTAGAGCGAAAACTAGATGTCCTCAAAGGTATATTCCAATTCTGAGATTCTATTCATTACTATGCAAACATCAATTACTTTAACCTGTTGTGATACACTTCATACTGTAAGAATTTATTGAACCATCTGCCCTTACATTAAAATGGCCCAAGATAGCAGTCTTTCAGGCTGGCTACTTGTAGTTTTTCTGTCTGCTCCTGGCTTCTAGGCATCAGCTGTCAGTGTGTCTGCCCATAACAATTCTGCTTCTAATTTGCCACTATGGATTTGGAAACCAAATCATCAAGCTTCTTTAAGCTATATGTAAAGTAAGTTTGAGGGCAACTAGGCGGCACAGTGGATAGAGTGCCAGGTCGGAAGTCAGGAAGACCTAAGTTCAAATTCAGCCTTAGACACTAGTGGTGTGACCCTGGGCAAGTCACCTACCCC